TTGCACGTGGCGCCCGGGACGCAGGATGGTTTTGGCGCGACTGGCCCTAAATCGACCGTGACTTGTACTAGTTGATTTGGTATGGGGCCCGCAATTGGTGCTTGCATGGTGCTGGCGGCCGACAAAATTGACTCAGCTGGCTCCCTGGGGGGGTTGAAGATGTTCGGACCAGTCCCTTAAAGGTTTGTCAAAATTGCTTTCCTTCTTGGGGTGTCAGTCAACCAGACCCAGCCAAAAGGCTCCAAAGGCGTCAAAACGACCCAGTACGCAGGTCGCGGATGGCCTGGATGGATGGAATGGAAGCCTTGCTGGACCGCGAGGCGCCGGGAGCCTTTCAGAAACAAGGCCCAAGTGAGAACCAACCATTTCATGAGAGCGCGAAGATTGACTTCCGATGGATCTGTATATACACATACACACACACATACATACATACACACACACACATACATACATACACACACACACACATACATACACACACACATACATACATACACACATACATACATACACGCACACACACACACACACACACATACATACATACACACACACATACATACACACACACATATATATATATATATATATATCTACATATGTTATGTATGCATACATGTGTACATACATGCATACATACATACAGATCTTCAGTGATGGCCAGTTCCGTGTCCACAGTCAAATCCAATCTGCTCACTGGGCTTGAGGCGGATCCCAACGCCACGGACCGGCTGCAGCAAGCGCCGCTGCATGGGGCCGCCAGGAGGGCAGCGGCCCCGGCGGCCGCCGCTTTTTGGGTTCGGCGCTCTGGTGTTGTTTGGTTTCTCGGGTTTCTATCGGTTTTCTCCAGTTTCTATGGGGGTTTCTCGGGTTTCTACGGGTTTTCTCGGGTTTCTACGGGTTTTCTCGGGCTTCTACAGGTTGTCTCAGTTCCAACGTGCTTCTATGGTATCAGGAAAGCCTTAGTTGGTGGTTTGGATTGGTGGTTTGGTGGCTTGAGCCCTTGGCTTTTTCAGCTCCCCACTAATTAGTGGAGTGGAGTGGTGGTTTGGATTTGGCTTTGAACCCCTTCTTGTAGAAGGTAAATGGGAAACCACCCCAGAACACCGCCAAACAAGAACAAGCTGGTTTGCCAGTGGTTCCAGTTTTGCCACTATAGTAGGGCGAGCAAGGGAAGCCACAATGTACTGTGAAGCTGATGGGAACATGCCTGGTTCCCCACAAATATGCCCTGGTTTCTGGAAAGAAGGAACGTGGAAAGACAGAGGTTTGGCAAGCCTGTTTTTGACAACAGGGTAAACATGCCAAAAAAGGAGGCCCGTAGAAAGTCCTCCCCCCTCCCCTTCCCTCCTTCCCCCCCCTCCCTCTCTCTCCCTCTCTCTCTTGCTCCCTCCCTGCCTGCCCTCTTTGTCCATCAACTCAACTAAAGCGCTTCAGATGACAAAGGCAGACCTCCGGGCAGTCTCGCTACTGCTTCGCAGCCGGGCAGACGTGCATGCCCCAGGCCGGATGGGGATCGGTGCCCCTGACAGTTTCCGTCTTACTGAGCACCCACCGCCCGCTGCCAAGGTCAACAAGGAGCTGGAAAGTCAGGTTGTTCTTTTGGACGGCCCCACTGATCAAATCCAGGCCTTTTCGGTCCGGTCCCCCTTCCGCCTTGGCCAATAGGAACTTATAACAGGAAATTACGCTTTTCCTCCTTTACAGCTGCAAGCTGTAGAGGTTCTATCTTGAAGTAGAGAGGGGAGAGGGTGTCATGCAAGATGCTGGTAGGGGTTTGGTTGCAGGGTTTTGCTGGATATTGATTGTGAGTCGCGGGTGCTGAAACAAGGTGCTGTAGCAGGTCTCTTTTTCGAAGTTGGGGGTGGTGAGGGTGTTGTTGCAGTGTGTTGCTGGTGGATCTGGCCACGAATCTTAATAGGGAACCACCTCAGAAGTGATTGGTGGACATGAAGCACCGCCTAAATGATGTCCAGCAAAGGGCCCCCCCATTAAAATTCAGAACTATCTGATTGAGTTGTGCAAGCTCTTGGAGGGTGGAATTTTGGAAGTGCTGTTGCAGCACACCGTTGTAGGGAGCCGTGGCTGGGAGGTTCTGTTTCCCGCCTGCCCTGACTGCCTGCCTGCCCTGCCCTGCCTGGCTGTTTGCCTACTTTGCCCTGCCCTGCCCTGCCCTGCCCTGCCCTGCCCTGCCCTGCCCTGCCCTGCCCTGCCCTGCCCTTTTTCTATTTGTTTGTTTGCCTGGCGTGTCTGTCTGTCTGTCTGTCTGTCTGTGTTGGCAAGGGATGCTTGACTGCCAGACTGCCAGGCCCAGAGAACCGCAAAGCGGTTGATTTTGCCAATAGCTCAGACCGATGTCGCGCAGAGGTTTCAGGTGGGCTGGCTTATTTGGGTCGCAGGAAGGCACAAGACGTGGGCCCAAAAAGAAAAGAGACATGATCTAACCAGCATAGTTTGACAGCTGTAGCTGAAGTGCTTCTGTTTGCCGACAAGGCTCCCGGGACACACCCACATAATGTGTGGCGATCTCCCACCAACCAAGGCCCAGTTGCCCAGTGGCGCCCTTTTTACTTTTTTTTGGAAGGTTTCCCCTTTAAACTCAACCAACGAAAAAAGGATGCCCTTTTGTCCCATGACCACTGGGCCTTTGAGAAGGAAGCTTTTTTTTCAAGCAACGCAGTCTTTCACGTGGGCTACCCATGTTTTTGATGGGAGGGTACAGTAGCTCTTTGCTGCTGCAACCTTCTGGCTGGCAGCGCCCGCTGAGGTGCCATTTGACCACCCTAGCCGGGGGCCAAGCCTTGTCTATGAATTAAGTTTTGCATTTGGGCCAGCTTGAAAATCACCTTCAGCTGATTTAGAGGACACCTTCGCAATCCATTGCCCCTAGTAAGGATTTTGAATGGCGACAATCAAGTGTTTTTGTGTTTTCCGGGTTTAGTAGTGGTTTCGTTTTGGTTCAGTATCGGTTTAGTATTTGGTTGGTATTGATTTAGTATTGGTCCTACACCCCCTGAAAAGGCTGGGATCGGGCTGGGCGAGAAATCCGCCAGTTTAGTTCCTGTTGAAAGTAGTATTGGGAATCCGGCGGTCTGGGGAACACTCATAAAGGGCACGTCTTGAGCGCAGGCTTCCCTTGTGCCGTATACTTGCAGTATGGCTGGGGGACACATAACTTGGGTTCCCAGTCATCCGGTTCCTTAGGTTTTTAGCTTTTTAGTTGATTTTTAGTGGTTGGGTGTCCATTTGATGCACTTCACTAAACATTTCAACGTTGAGCAGGGGATCTGAGGGCAGCGTCCTTGGCCAACGGCCAACATAAAAAGCTGGACAACATGCAGTTGTTTTTTCCTCATTGGGGTTTTAACAAGGGCGTCCCCATAAAATCCGCAAGATAAAGGATGCGGGATGCGCATTCTTGCCCCTGGCCAAGAGCTCTAGGCAAAAAAAGACGGCCGGGGCTTGGGGCTGCGCTTCGCGCGAGGCCGGGAGAAGGTGACCCTCATGCTGCAAGCCTATGCGCGGGCTCCACCGCAGGCGGGCCGCAGTGCCGGAGGCCCGGATGTCTCAAGCTTAGGGCTTTTCGGAGCCAACCAACCAACCCACCAACAAGAAATCATCCCCACGTAGTGTGCAGAAAGTGAGACCGGTGGCATGCGCAAGGACGGTGAAGCCTGGATGCGGCTTCACGATAGCTTTGGGGTGGCTTTTCGGATTGAGCAAAGTAAACGCGTTATTGGCCTCTTAGAGCGCCGCTCCATGTCCATGATGTCCCTTTATGTTGTAAGTATTGTAAAATATGACGTGGCCCCTTCCATCGAATGCCGTAGCTTTGAGCCTTTGTCTTGGCTCTTTGCATTCCGCAGCATTGTTTTCGTCGTGGTTCCATGCTTTTTTTTTTTTTTAAAATACTACGGTAAACTCACCGGAACTCTGCCTGAAAGTACGTGGGAGCATCACTGCTTCGTCCTTCGGATGGCACTTGCCAAGGAATTTGGATGTTTGGAATTCCCTCGAACCGAGTTGGTGGAAGTCAATCCCATGCAAATGATGTTGACGAAAGAGTCCCCAATTAGGAACGTGCTCTGGACGGCCATGGCCACATGAGCTGTGTAGCCATGACCATGTGATCATCGGAGTCAAAAGGACAACTGTAGCAGGGGCATCCATACACTCGCCGATATGATCAGAGCCACACTGAAAGCAGTACCATCTATTTTGAACCAAGATGCACCTAGAATGCCATGCTTGAGATACCCGTGCCAAGGATGCGAAGTTGCAATTCTGACATAGTGCCTAGCATTCGAAGATTGCAGCTCTCGCTGACTGCATTCGGCTGGGCATTGCGTTGCCACACGCAACTTGGCTTGCCAAAGGCAAGCCAGGCAGCTTAGCGGGATTGGTCACTGCAATTCGTGCTTGAGAGGCTCGAACGCGAACGAAAAAGCTGCCAGGTGTGGTTCATGGCCCGAAAGCTTCTTCAGCTCCTGGTTTGTCGAGGGACATGCGTTCATTCGAGCCCAGCTGTGATGTACTGGTCCCCGGTTTTCCTTGGTTGACCTCGTGGTCTCCGAAGAAATGACAAGGAGCACCTTGCGGGCACCTTGTGGGCACCTTGTAGGCACCTGGCAGTGGTTTACCTCGTGCGGGCCATTCTTAAAGCGTTGGTGGCAACGAAATGCAGTTCGACTCAGTCCTTGCAATCGGCCGGATTCCCCATGGCGGGGTTCTTCAGATGGTGAGCCCTTCTTGGGGCTTGCAAGGAACCACCCACTTTCAGTCCTTCCTGGGGCTTCCCACAGCAGAAGTTAGCATGGGATGAACTTGATGCCTGGCAAGCTTTGGGCTCAGTCGTGCAAAGCCAAGCTTGCATGCTTCACAATGGGACTATCATGCTAGGGTTGGAAGTTTGGCCAAGTGGCCCAGATGGTTTTGGTATGTTTTGATATTGTTGTTTACTTGCAATGGTAAAAATGCGCCTTCCAATCTTCAGCTTTTGTTCTGGAACTTTTTGCCATGCTTCGCCATGGTCTTCTCGGCTTTCTCGTCCTTGCCCTTGCGCTCACGGAGAACGCCACGGTGCTCAGAGACGATTTGACCAATACGACCAATTTGACCAGCCACCGGCCCCAAGAGGAAAATGACACCGCGCACCTAGGCAAGGAAGCCTTGGAGGCACGGAAGACCTTCTATGTCACGATCATTGCTGCTTTGTGTGGCTCTTTGGTTCTGGCCAGCATTTGTGTGCTGAAGCGCAAGCAGGCCAGGAAGGCGGAATCGAATCATCTGAATCCCGTTGAACTTGAAATGCAGAAGACGCCCTCTGGCGGAGCCAGATCTGGCGGTGGTGCTGGCTATGAGGCTCTGGGAGATGCCAACGAGGGCGGCGAAGGACACTGTGCAGCAATAACGGACTGTATCGAAATGGCAGCTTTGCAGTAAAGGCAGAAGCCCAATGGCCTGTCTACCCTTGTCAGCGGAGGGCTCGTGGCTATAACGATGTCACCCAATTCTTGCTATTTCTATCCAGTTTTCACGGCAAGCCTCGCCCCACTAGAGAGAATAATCTGTGCCTATTCTGATGCTCCGGTCGAATCTTGTCCTGAGCACCTTCAGGCCAAAAACCAACAACGCGCATAAAGTATGGGCAGGACTTGCACACTCCAAATAAGACTTCATTGCTCGGCTCTCTCATGCTGTCCCTCAGCAGCAGCCAAGGGCCCATACCAAAAAGGCCCATTGAACTTCCAAGAGCAATGTCAACTTCAGATCGCTCCGGGCGTGAATCAGAGGTCCCCTCCAATTTGTGCAAAGCCATGTTTGGTGGGAGTGTAACAGAACGCAACAGAAAACACGTCCAGAAGGGCAAAGTGCCAGGATTTGCAAGACTACCTTCTTTTTTGGGGGGAAACCCCCGGGTAACCCCCCGACCGACAAGCGACTTATCAGTCTAGAGGGTGCAATAGTCCAAGGTGAACATTTGCATGTTACTCCCACCTCATTCAGCACCTGTCCTGCGTGCGCTGCCACTTACGGGGTTGTTCTGCTGGAAGATGCTGTTCAGATTGATCAGGCTGCCAAATCTTCATCGAGCTCACGCTGGGGTAAAGCGAGAACCATCATCTATTGAACGTGGTTCCCTGCTTCATGTTTTGGAGCCACTATGCATTCAGCAGATGACTTAGCTACTGCTCAGACACCAGGATGCCCTGGTGTTGGTCCCAAGAGCCTGTGATACTGCAAGGGTTCTGCCCACTCTGTCACTATATGTTTTGGCGCCCGCAGCTTTGTTGGCCGAGCGTTGTGTGCAAGCGACCCGGAGCCCTGCCCCCAACCGCCCGCTCAGCACGAAGCGCAGATACCATTGAGAACACATGCGGCTGGGAGCGAATGCAACTAGTTGACCCGAATTTGCTTGATTTCTCTTTGGTGCATTTTGCTTGGATGTTAGGACTTTAACTTTTTGCCAACTAATGGGTTTTCCATTAAACCACAAAAAGTTCAACTTTTAGCAGGGGAGCAGAAAGCAACCAAGTTTTGGCTTTGAACTTCACAAAACCCTCCCCCCTTTCGTGGGAGAGTGGGAATTCGGCCGGTGGACCAGCCTCCTTCTGTTCCAAGGGGGCGAATTGGTTTAAACAACTAGCTGCTCTTTGCCATGGCTTCCCCCAATGAAAGCCAAAAAACGGAGGTCCAAAGGCTGATTCTCGGGAGCTAGATCTGGTTCATGAAATGGTGGTTGTTGTTCATTGGACTTGTGAAGGGTTAAATCGGGTCAGAATAGAAATTCCACTCAGAACCAACCGTGGCTTCAGGATATTGAAGCACGTGGCAGCCAATCTTTGACCTTGGGAACGATGCGCATTGTTCACTTCTTGCGAAGGGGCAGCCCGGTCTGTCCACAAATTTGTGGTAAATGGTCCTGATTCCCTTGTGCTAATTTACTGATTACAGCTACCGCTAGGTGGGGCCGTAACGCCTATAATGGGAGCCACCTTGCCTCTCTTGGGCTTCAAATGTCTTGAGGGTTGGCGTGCCACCGCCCCAAACGCAACTTTGAGAACGGGTCCACAATGCGACCCGCAGGACTGGGGCAGCTCACCAAAGAGGAGCTGGAGGACGCCCTGGAAGCACAGCAAATGTCCGAGGAGGAGCGCAATGCGCGCCTGAACCAGCCGCGCAGCTGCCGGGGAAACGAGGTCCCCCGTGAAGCGCCTTTAGTTGGCAGGGCTCCTTAAAAGATACATTTTGCCCATTTGAAACCTGGCGTTTTCCACCAGAATGAAGGGAAACCACCATTTACAAGGCAATGTTCAGATGTATAATGTCAGGATCTGTGGTTGGGGACCCCTTATTTCAGCGTATGTCGCGGCCCTGAAGTAACACAGGTCCCTTTTGGGGATGTTTGGGTTGACGGCTATGTGCAACGTTTCGGGAATACTAAGATAAAGGCAACGGGCATGCTGAACTCCGGGTTTGGCTCAGCCACAAAAGGTTCACCTGAAAAAAGGCATACCCGTATGGCTGGTTTTGTAGAGATTGGGCAGATCAGTTTGAGAAGTTTACCGGTATCTCCCCGTTTCATTTGCCTTCGATATCTATTTCTTTGGTCCCCAGGTGAATCATGTTATGTTCGGTTTGGTGTTTTTCACCTTGTTTCAACTTTTTGCCATTTGAAAACGGTAGAACTTCCTTTTGTGACTTGGGGGTGGTGGCGCAGTCGATGTCCGGCTGCTCTCAAACATAAACGCAAGGGAACACCCTGCCCCTCCTTGAGCGCCAGAACGTCCGGGTATTCGGTTCTTGCACCACGTGTTTCCCCGCAAGGAAAATGCAACTTTGAAGATTTGGGACGCTATTTTGCAACTGTCAATGCAACCCAGCCAAGCACGCGGGAGGTGCACAAGCTTTAAGCAAGAGGCTCGTTGCGAGAAAAGGGCTCTGATGATTTTACCCAGCCATTCTGTCTCAATGTAGCCCTTGGTGGTTTTGCGTGGCTGGCTTGGAGATGTGAATTTCTGGTTCTTGCAGAGGGTCCATGACCAATCCAAACTAGAGCAGCTTAAACATCGCTGCCCATGTCAAGGTGTAAGAATCGATCGCTTGGATGTGACGTGTAGCTGTGCTTTGTAGTTGTTGGAACGCGCTCCAATGCTGGTTTGGACATAGGTACTTGGAGAATCCCCACGTAGAGCAAGGTGGTTTTGGGATGTACCCTTCTACCAGAACCCTGCAACACATGTCCCTTCAAGCCATGTCAATCAAAAACAGCAATGAAGGTTCGCAGCAAGTTTTGGACTATACCACCCCTCCCTTTCGGCCGGAACCCTGACCAATGTTGATTCCAAGCCACCTGGAAATAGTGTGTATGTATTTTGAGATGTCTATCTATCTTCAAAGCGAGTGGCATGTTTTTAGGTTTTCGAGTTTGCTTTGTTCTGCTCATTCTTAGCAAAGTGTTTTGCTATTATACCCAGGGTTGGACAGATAGATTTAGTTTCTATATATATATATACATATACACAAATACTCACTTTTATCCACTGGTTACCTGGTGGCTATGGATTATGGCTGCATTGTCCCATTGAGCTCCGAGGTGGGCCCAGGAGCGCTCAGAGAAGCTGCGCCTGGAGCACCGGGATTTTTTCCTTCTGCGCAAGGCGGGGTCACAAGGGTCGGTGGCTAAGCCGTTGCTTGGATCCCATATGGGGCAGAAGTGGAATTGGGGCTTGTTGTTTACTAGTGGTCTGTAACCATGCTTAGTCGCGCACAAGTCTTTGTGTGTGTGTGTGTGCGTGTGTCTTTGTTTGTTTTGTGTGTCTCTGTGTGTCTTTGTGTTTTTGTGTCTCTGTGTGTCTCTATCTGTGTCTCTGCTGTTCCTTTGTGTGTCTGTGTGTCTGTGTGTCTGTCTGTGCGTCTGTGTGTCTCTGTGTCTCTGTGTGGCTGTGGGGGTGTGGAGGTGTGCGGGTGTGGGGGGTGAGGGGTGTGGGTGTGTAGGGTGTGTGCGGGTGTGTGCGAGTGTGTGGGTGCGTGGGTGTGGGTCTTGCCGGCAAAGCAAATCCCGAAGTGTCAAAGCGTCAAGCCCTCTAGAGGGCCACGTTTCTTGCTTTGGTGTCAAATTGTGTCAAAAGCTAATCCCTGAGCCCAGCCTGTCAACACAGCGCGCAAGTGAGCGAACGCAGGACAACTTGCTACCTTATGTGGTGCTGCCTGAACTGGTTGTGGATTTCTCTGATGTTCCTTTGCAAGCCAATTCCAAACTTGTGACCGGTGTCTGATTGTTTGGGCACTCCGGCACTTCCCGCGGCTAGATCACCATGAAACTGAAGCTACGCTTGGCACATTGGAGCACGCCTTTAGTGGTGCCTTCCAAGCTTTTGGCTCCTCAAAAAGGTGTCCTTCCCACCATACCCCCCTTATTTGGCTGCATCCTACCTGCAATTTCTTCAAAGGGCAACAACATGCGAACGCCTTCGGGAATGCCCCGCGTGGTTGAAGATATTCAGCAGGTGGTTGGCCCAAACCCTGACAGGTGGTCCTGGTGGTGTTCATGCTTTGCTATATCCTGGGCTCTGTTGGCCTCCCGTACTTGCACCGGACGGAGGCAAGTTGCTCTCAAGGCTTCTTTTGGGAGACGCATATGCAGTTCCTTTTGCTCTTTTGCGTCACCAAGCTCGCTGAGCTTGGGCTCATGTTCGCTGATGACATGGTCCCGTGGGACCAGGTGGAGACAAGCCACTTTCTTCTCAAATTCCTGCCATCCTTCCTGGGATACCTTGATGGCTACACGGATGCCAACGCAGTATTCATTGCGGGATCCTGCGATGACACCCTGGCACAAACACTGGCATACCTGATGGGGATCTCGTATTTGGTGGGTGTTGTTCTCTTGCAGTGGGTGCTGATGTTCATACTTGCTGCGGGAGATCCGTCACATGCCTGTCTCCTGAAGCTGCTGCATATGGACATGCTGGCCTCGTGCATGACCCTGCCGGCAGACCAGAAGTGGGTCTGGGACATGCTGGCCTTGGTCCGCACTTTCGGGGAAGACATGCCGCAGGCCGTCCTGCAGACGGTCTATTTGGTCAAGGTGAAGAGGAGCTCGCCTGCATGTCGGTACTGAACATCTAGGTAGCTGGAGAGGCAATCCCAATGAATTCTGCTGGCGCTCAGCAGGGAACGAGGGAAGGACCCTCAGAAACAATCCCTTCTGGGTTCCTTTGAGGGGACCCCTGGGTTCATTCCCTCATTCCCTACTTACAAGTTTACATGTTGGGTCTTGACTGCCAGGTTTTCATTGTGACTCGGGGGTACCTCAGACATGTGATGTTGGATGCGAGCAGTTTACAAACGAAGGCGCGGCCTCACATGACTGTGGTTCCTGACTATCCTTTGGCAGACGGCCCTTCTGGCAACAGGGTTGTTGCCCGCCTCTAAAAGATGAACCAAACTGAAGCGCGGAAAAGTTGGGTTGGTTTTTCTTTGGTTTTACTCGGGATCCACTTTCCGCCCTTCCCACAAGGGGCTTTGGAGCCCGCAGGAACTGGTTCATGCTGGTCTCGGTGATCATGGCGCTGTGTGCTTCCATCAAGGCCCTGCATGAGGCCCGTGCCAGGGCCCTGGCAGCCACCGGCGCGGACAAGGAATATGAGAACCGCGAGCGCGATTTCATGGTGTACAGCTGTTCCCAAGATGCTACCATCAGGCCTGGTGCATCCAACCGTTTTTTCAGGCACACGGCGGATTTTTCAATCAGCAGCATGGTTCAAAGCTAGTTTTGAAGCAACTTAATGGATCTAAATCAACAAACAACAACGAGAGAAAGCGAGACAACGACGCCAGGAGTTGGAATGTGAAGGAGGGTACTTGTACCTCCACCATCTCGTCTCGCGGCCCTGCAAATGCCATCGCCGCTTCGGGTGGCAGGCTCTACAGCGCCCACGATGACGGCCTCATTCGCGAATGGACGCATTGCCAGAATTGACAAGCTTTGCCTTGTTGCACTTGTGGGTTCCTCGAATTCCGCTTTTCACCAGCCAAAAAAAAGGAAGAAGTTTTTTTAAGAGGGTCAACGTTTGACCAAGGTCACTGGAGACTGGTCAGCAGACTCGCACGTTTCCACACCCCGGAAGCAATGCAACTGTCCGCGCCGGGAGGTATCTGTTTTCCTGGGCCTCTGCAGCCCACGGATGCAAGTACAAGATGCTCAGTTCAGCAACGGCCCTGTGTTTTTTTTGATCTTTTTGGGAACGTTGAGTCATGAGGGCACTGTTTTTTGTTTTTGTTTTTTATCCCTTTCGTTCTTTGCCCTATCCCAGAGGGTCCAAGTAAGTACCCTGCCCTGAGAGGATGGCTTTTGGGGGGTCAAAAGGGGTCGTTCAGTGCATCCTTAGAAGATACTTGGACCCTCTGGGTATGGACAAGCGAGGATGTTTTCCCTGGAGTCTGGAGAGTGCTTGAACGATTTTCCAGCGCCTTCGATGTACAAAGCGTCCCTCTTCATCAAGGGGGACTCCTTTTACGGCACGAGCACCAGCACTTCTGAGGCTTGACGCTTTCTTTGACCCCAGAATCGAGCAACATATCTGCGAAAAACAGCGCAAACGATTATTACTATTATTATTGATTTCAGACTACGTTCATAAGGGACCGGTTGAACTTTTCGGACACATCGCATCGAAAGGATTGCTCTTCAAAGCGGGCGGCTTGGATTGCACTTCCCCTTAGGGTTAAACGGAAGCATGCCATTGCATCGAATTGGGTGCGGAATTCCCTTGCAGCGCCATGTGAGTTTAATACAGTTTAATATGCCAATTGTTTGGCAACCAAGAGCACCCGCCCATTTTCACTGGGTTGGGTCAGCACCCTTCACTTGATTGGGTGCGATGATTGGTTGTCTGAACAGTCTGTTCTTACCCAGAAAATCGGTGGGTAAACGGTCGGTACCTCCCTTCCTTCAAATCATGCGAGCGCCCCATGAAAGCCAACAATCTCCAGAGCTGGCGCGTGCCGTGAGATCAGGGCGGTCATTGCCACGCCGTTGATGGCAACAAAAATGGGGGCCACAGAATGCGCCGACGGGTTGCTCTATGGTCACCGCATTTGGTCGTAAGTTGCGTAGCCCAGTCTTATTCAGCCATTGATGTTGATTGAAAGGAACCCCCCCCAGTCGATTCTTAATTACTCAGCCCACCTGTCTTAGTGACTCCATTTACCTGCGCTACCCATCCCCCACGAAAAGGACACAGAGGCGTGGGATCTGGGCTCAGTCAGCCGCAGGTCTGCCGATGGAGCATCTCCTCCGGCGATCTGCTGGGCACCTTTGCCGGGCACCGGCGCCCCATCAACGCCATCTTCGCCACCAGCAAGCGGCTCTTCACCGGTGCCCAGGATGGACTCGTCAAGGACGGTAGGAGCCTCACCCGAGGAAAGGACCCAAGGGAAAATCAGAATGCCCAGGAAGTGTTGAATTTCCCAGATGCAAAGTTGAATGGTTGTACAGTATGACGGTTGTAGACCACCCCTCAGGGGAAATCTGATGGTTGTTGTACATTGTACGTATATAATACATACAAATAAGTTGTTGTGACAAGTTTTGTTCATAGCCCCGGGCCCCAGAGAATCGTCCCAGACTGTCACCAACAGTCAGCGCGTCGATGCTCGTTTCTGAGGGAAGCAAACAGAAGCCGCAGCCACCTTCCAAATCGTTTCTGCGGTCTACCCCACTGAACATTGGCATGGAGCACGGAAGGGACATGAACAAGCAACAACGGCTTGGAATTTGAACGGCTGTCTTGAGAGAGTCACTTTTTGTGGTTCCGCTTTCATATTTAGCTTAGCTACAAGCGCAATAAACAAACACAAATGTGACAATGTGACATTGCCCTGACTGATAACTGTCTGTAGGTCGACAGGACTACATGCAGGGCCCCTGAAAACACCTGGCAAAGTGAAACAATTGCCGCAAAGCCGGCCACTTTTCAGCTGCACGTACAGTTCCTTATCTGGGACACTGGGCAGAGTCAGAGAAAACATTTCTGAGAGTTTTGTATTACACCCTGGGATTACACCCTTGGGACCCAGAATGGTTCAAAACAACACGTGTTTTTTTGTTCTTCCCCAACAGCTGAAAGCTTTGGGGTCTCAGCCCAGATAGGCTCCGGGGTGGTCCGGGGCGGCCGTGAGGTAAGGTTGCGCGAGGGTTCCACGAGGGTGGTGCGAGCATTAAAAAGAGCTCCGCATGCTGTTGGGGCTGTCACCTGAGCTTATTTCTTTCCGGAAATGTGCCTAAACGGGGTCAATACCCAGTGGGTGTATTCTCAGGGCGGTATTCCAAAAACCCTTAGAACATTGTGCGTGGCTCGGTAGGAGTGGAGCTTGGACTCTGGCCTGGAAACACGCACCTTCTCGGACCACCAGGTGTGGGATTGCGTTGCTCCCAGCGGTCAGCACCCAAGACCCTTTGGAACCCACCATGGTACATGGAGTGCTTTTAATCCCCCAAAGCCCTGACAGATGACAGAGACTATGGCAGAGTACTTGACTAGTTACAGATGGCTGTATGGTTGTACAGTTGCCCAGTGGCGCCCTTTTAGGAAGGGTTCCCGTTTAAGCTCAACCAACCAAAAACGGATGCCCTTTTTTCCCATGGCCACTGGGCATGTACAGTTTTACCTGTATTTCGGTGAGCGGGGTGGGACATCGCCTCGTTTGGTCTCGCGGAGCTGAAGATGTGGGTCCGGTTGCGCTACCTAGGTGCAAGCGTACCCGTGCTTACGAGCCCATTGCCCATTTCTGAAGCCAAAGTCACCCTCTAAGTGGTGGGTTAAAGGGAAACAACCCCATTTTCTGACTTTGATAAGCCCAGAAACCGTCAAAATGACCCCAGCAAAAGGGATGGGCATGTTTTTTGCTTCCCGCGCCAAGAGAGGGCGGAAGCGAGATTCAGCAGCTAGGATGGCTTCCTGGCGCCCTTGGCCGTGGTCACGGACAAGCTCTACAACGGCTCTGGCGTGCAGCACGACATCAACGAGTGGTCCTTGCTCACTGGTCAGCTGCTCAGGCCAGGCTTGAGCAAATATTTGCTGAAACGGGCAGACCCTGGTTCTCTTGAAAGGAAAGCCCAAAGTAGTTTGTTTCAAAAAGCAAGCTGCTCAGCAGGGCTCCAAAAAGTGTACCTTCAAAAATAAGCTGCTTTATTTAAACAGGCATCTCTAAATCGGCAGGTTTGTTGGTGCTATGTGGCACCATTGAGTGGGTGTGTGATTTGTTGTGTACCCTTTGTGGGGCTTGAAGCTCCGGGCACACAGGCGCTTTGCCGGGCATGGGCGGGCAGTGATGAGCATCGTTATGTTGGAGCAGAAGCTTTACAGCTCCTCACACGACGCCACCATCAAGGAGTCGAATGACCAGAAAACACAAGGGTACCCTCCCGCCAATTAAGCTGGGCTCGTGATTGAAACCATGTTCCTTGGGACCGCGCCCCTGTCAGGTTCCATGTTCATTAGTGGGGCGTGTAAATGCCACATTACCTTCCATTTGCTGAAATGAATATATGTTATTTTTGCCTTTGGCTATTACTACTAGACATTTTTCCAGGGGCGAAAAAGCAAATGGAAGTTATCAAGTTGGGTCTTCCAATTTGTTTCCCTTCACCAGGCAACTTCTCGGACCCGGTTCTGTGAAACTTCCACTTTCTCGCGCTTTCTTCTGCTTTCTTCCCTAAGAGTGGGTTTCATGCAAACCAGGCTCGCTGCTCAAGTGGGCAAACCAGGGGTTCTCGCATGTTCCCCAAGGCGGGTGGCTTGTGTTGCGCCAGAAAGCTGCGAACCTTTGTCTCCCCGGACAAGCAAGTGGCCCATCAAAATCCAGAGTTTTTCCGCAAGGCCGGCTTTATCTCAAGGTGTACAGATCCGCAAGAGGTCTGGTGCCAGTTGTCCAGGGTTCGTCGCCAGGAATGGTCCTTAGCCACTGGCGAATGTGAGCAAACCTTTGAGGGCCATACAAGCTACGTCAGCAATATCATCGTGATGTACCGTGATGACTAGGCAAAGCTGGCAGGGTGGAGAAAGATGATTTGAAAGGCAGACCCGGCTGAATTTACAGGGAACCCCAACAGCAGATTGTTTGAGCAGCAGTTTTCTTTCGCACGCGCTTTTACAGGTTCTTCGCCCCAGCCTGCGAAGCAGCGAAGCAGCTTCCGCTGCCCTCCAAGGAGGGCAGCTTGGCTCTCCCTTTGAGACCGCGATTGCAAAAGCAACACGCAGCTCTTAACTCATGGTTGTGGGAAATGGGGTCTGAAGTGATAAAGAAGTCGCGGACCATGATCCATATAGGTAGCACAGACAGGGCGATTGTTTCAACCGTGGCCGAAGTCCGGAGTCCTACAGGGTCTCAAGACGAGCTCCTCTTGGAGTGCAAGGCTGCTGCAGAAGATGCGCAGCGAGTGAGGGAGCCAATGCATGGTCACAAAGATCCATGCTGATCCTATCCCATTCCGGCTCCATGTGTGCAGGATTAGGGGCAAAAGGAAAAGTGCGACTGGCAAACAATCCGTTGTCATTGGTGAGACAGGGGGCTCCCAGTCAAGTGAGATTTGTTTCTAGGGGAAGCAACGTATCCGAACGAATGGGTGAGAACAACTTAACGCTTTGCACGGGAACGGCCGACCAGAACAGACCCGATCCTGCAGGTACCTCCACTCATTTGAAGCCCCAAAAAGGGTGGGACAACTGGGGTTGTTTCCCTTTAACCCACCTTAGAGGTGACGTTGACCATGCCAAAAATAATGAGGCCAGGACAAAGGAGGTCCCTCTAAAAATGTTTTGAGGGGTTCGTGTTTGCGGAAGGGAGCACCTTTGGCACTCGCACGTTCTGTTGTTCTTGGCCCTCTTGGCTCTTGGCATGTAGTGGGCATGGCTGGCTGCGACCTCAGCACTGAACAGCGCCGAACAGAGCAGAGGGATTTAGCGGGAGGAATGTTGTCATACCTTGGCAGTGAGGAATGTAGTCCAAATTTAACATCATACTTACTCTTACTTACTTATCCCTGTGTTTTTTTGTGTTAGTAGCCCATGGGGCCACACACGCATTGTTCCATCGCACGTCACATACCGAAAAAGCGCTTTTGGTGAACATGTTGTTTATGTTGACCAGGCATGCCCTTTGTGCATGTGGGCTGAACAAATATGGGTGTGTCTTGAAATTAGGGACCTTCCAAAATGGTGGTTTGAATTTGGGTTTTCTTTTCGATAAGAGGGTACCCGGGGTTGTGGTCAATTGGAGGGCAAGTCTGGTGCCAGCAGCCGCAGTAATTCCAGCCCCAATAGCAGGGCTCCATAAAAAAAAAAAAAAAAAACAACAACTATTTTTTGCCCATTTGAAACGTGGCTTGTTCCACCAAAACAAAGGGACACCACCATTTACAAGGCAAGGTTCAGGTGTATAAGGTAAGGATCCCTGAATAGCGTATGTGGAAGTTGTTGCGGTTAAGAAGCACCGCACCCACCCGGACATGGCCTAAGCCCAGGCCATGTCCAACTTTGAGCCTGTAGAACCTGGGTCCGCCTTCCAGGCCGGGAGCTGCTGGTTTTCTGGGATTCTGGGATTTGTTTAAATATTGTTTGGGGTCGTTTTGTATGGATTTCGGGTAAGTCTGTATGGAATTTGGGCAAAGGCCTTGCTGAAGTTGTTCTTCGTTTTTCGTCTTGTCGGTTTTGAAGGGAGCCCATGCACTTTTTGTTTTTTCCCGGGGGGCTGAAGCAAATGCAGGAAAAGGATCGCACATGCCGCGGGGAGTCGTGGTTGCAGTGACCCTTTGCATTGTCAATTAATGGAGGAGATGCTTTGCGGAAATCCCAAATGGACATCCCAAATCGTTTTTGTTGCTGAGATATTTTAGTTGATCACTGCAAGTGTGCCTGCAGCAGAAGTTGCAGTGGATGGGGGTGGGCGAGAGTTGATGGGCTACTTAATTGTATTTGCTAGGTAGGAAGGAGCTTCAAAACGCTGGCGTGTGCGAATTTTGCTGTGGGATGCATAGTTTCTGAGATTTCTCTGATGCTTGATTCACTCAGGTGTTGGTCCGGTGCTGCTTAGTCGCTTGATGCAGAATTCCTCCACCAACAAACATGGAACCACCTTTAAAAGGACCATGGTCTTCCAGGCCCCCCCCCCATCAGGTTCCATGCTGATTGGTGGGAGGGCACTTAAGAGAGTCGAACAAACGAGGCAGGCAAACAGCACGGCCCAGAGAGTAAGACCCGTTTGCATCTGAGACACGGTAGGCCCATTGGGGCAAATGGCAGAAGCAGCTGCGGGAATGGCGCCAGGCTTATGATGATACCTGGCTTCAATTTAGCATGGTATCAGGGCCTCGGACCTCCAGTGCCGTTTTCCGTTTGGAGGGTGTTCCTTCAAAGCGCGGCCCTTTTTCCACGAAAATCCGGTGGAGGTCTTGGGTAACAACGTGCTCCAACAGGTGCCCGAGACGTCTCAATGCCGAAGCAGCCTCTCAGGGTCTCATCGACTTGCCGAGGAATGGCGGCAGGTGCTTCAAACACTCCAAGAGTGGGACGAGAAGGCGAGGACCAAAGATCACAAGCGGTCGATTCCCGTGCCCAGACAGGAAATCGCAAGCTTGGCCGCGCTGAACCTAGCATGGCAGCTTCAATCGAGGTTTGTTAGAGCCGCTTTGTAGCGCGGGCCTGTTGAGATGCCTTAGCTTTTCAGCTTGTGAGCGTTTAGTGGGGGTGTCCATTTAGCCCGCCAAAAGATATTTTTTAGCGGGGGATCGGAGGACAGCCCAGACTTGTCATAGTAGCTAACCTGGGGAACACGTCATGCAAGTTTCAAGCCTTGGGGTAAACATGCCTGGTGAATGACCCAGTACCAGGCGAAAACACCATGCAAAACCAACATCTATACTGGGTGTATAGTGGTATCTCGTGCCTGCTGAATTACCCAGTATTACGAGGCTGAAACCACCATCTATACCCAGTATACCCAGTATACCCAGTATAGTGGTAGCTCGCTCCGTACGGTTGAGCCTAGCTCGCTCCAGGACAGCAAAGGCATCCAGCTGGCCTCCATCGACCCCAATTTGGACGTCTTCGCCATCGACAACATCCTGGACATCGGCGAGGGTGAGCCCCTCTTCGGGAACTTCGAGTACGAGGAGTCCAGCAAAAGCTTCATTTGCTCAAGAAGATGTTGTTATTTTCCTCTGGTTGTCTTAAAGGGAATTCAACACCACTGGAAGTATGTGCATAACCAAATGGCCATAGTTGCTGACTTCCAGTGTGCCAGCCGCCCAGAGATTCAGATGCCAGGGACAAGTCTCCGTTTGCAAGGCTTTGTTTATGAGCCAGTCGAGGGTGCCTCCGCCTCCGGAGAGGTTGCAGGCATTAGCCAAGAAGCCAATGTGACATACCTTGCAAGAATGACACGTGCATGTTTCCTGTGACCGTTGCATTTGCCTGGCCACAAAGTGCTTCTAGTGGATCTATCAGTCAAGGGCGAGCATTTGCGTCTTGGTGTTGACCGCGACCTGCACAGTGTTTCCGTGGTGCAGTTCTGTGGCAGGACTGGTTGCTTCTGAGCACGAAGGCGTTGGGAATTTGCGATTTGCCAGTGGGTCAACAACCGGTGCCCAAAATGGGACCCTGGTAAATGGAACCAAGGACTAAAACATGCGGTCCATATCCTGCTGGTTTCATTTCAACCCATACCCATTTGGCTGTGGGTCAAAACCAATGGGATCCTATTTTGGGGTAGGTGAATTCACCACCCATTTTAGAACCTATTTTAGTGGGGCGTGCGATGTTCACTGGGGGTACGGGCTTTGGATTTTGAGCCATACCCATTTGATGCCCGAGCCAGCCGTGAAGCCAAGCGAAAGCACACATATCATGGGCTGGGGGGGAGGGAGGGGAGGGGGGAGCCCCAAAAAACCCTGATTTAGCCCTGATTTAGCCCTTATTTAGCCCTTATTAAGGCCTTATTTCGGGCTTGTTTAAGGCCAAATTTAGGGCTCCCTCCCCCCCCCCCCCTCCCTCCCCCCCCCAGCCCCCATAAAGAATAACCAAAGCGGCGGCCAGGTGGAGCTGCACCTGCTAGTGCATCACTTCCGGGACGACACCGGCGGCGCTGTCTTGGACGAGACGCCCCGATGCAAAATCGGTCCAGTGCCAGAGGTCTACCAACTTTTTGGTGAGGGCCCCCGGGATTTGTTTTTTCTTCGGCCCCCCAGTGCCCCCCAGTGACCCACTTTTTGGTTGGGAGGGTTTTTTCCTCGTAAAATAGACTGACAAAAGTGGGTGCCCGATTATTCTATCATTTCTAGTTCCTCTCTATCGGAGGGTCGAACAGTAGGTACCCACTCGCCAACATTCGCCAACCAACATGGAACTTGGGTGCCAGAGGGCACAGATGCACCCACACCCCACGCACATCAGAAGAAATACCAAAAAGACGAAGGGGAGTGCGGAGAGAGGCTCCCTTAGAGGGGAATAGTCTTCCAAGGGGTCTATGCACATCCGTATGTGCCGGGAGGATAGCTTTGTTACCTGTTCGTACACACACACACACACCCTTTGTTCCTTTATGCATGGATGAGACTTGGGCTGTGCAAGTGTGGAGGGGGGTTGTCTCATGCTGAGGTCCAATTTGGCGCATTATTACAAGACCTACTTCAACAAAGACTTGACACCAGCTGACTTCGCTGTGGGAGACTGAGATTCTTGGAACTGTGCAGATGCCATGAGAGCTTGTACCAACGTCTTTCTACCCCCCCCCCCCCAATCATTTTCCTTTAGGGAAACCCTGGTATCAGCAAGTCACAGAGGTGCAGTTCTGGTTGCCCGTGTCCTCCCACTTGCAACATTGCGGGATGCAACCGCAACTGCGCGTGGGGTTTCATCATTAGCATGTGTGAGGCCAGTTCAGCTGGTGAAGTCATTCAGCTGGCGGAGGACGGTAAAAAAGCTCACCCATGAAGGTTCCTTGAGAGGGGGGGCCTTATTCTCCGTTCGGGACTTGTAGTGACTTGGCCACCGGTGTTGCTTGGCTAAATTCGGGACTTGAACTATTTTAGCCGCCTTTACGAGAAACTATGAGTCGACGGATGACTTGAATGTGTTTGCAGAGCCCCTCAATGTGCTTCATGTTGGGTCTGCTCAACGGGGCCTGTTGAGTGGAAAATCCGCAGTCTGGGTTCGGCTTCGACTTGCCAATGCTTAATTTAGATTTGCAAATTCTAAGTTTACTATTGCCAAGACTTACTCTCAGATTCCCAGTGCTTGATTGTGCATTACTATAAGCCTATTCTTGGTTTGGGGACGGCTTAAAAAACAGGAATTCCAAATGCTTGCCCGGAAATGTTTGCCAAGATAGTGTTTGCTTGATTTGTTAATTGCCCATTTCCGGCACAAACACTGTTTATGATTCAAGCGAACCCGAGAAAGTCACAAGATTCTGAATTAAGAAAACAACTTCATATAGAAGCGACTCCAATTACAAAAGCGGGTCCGACCTGATTTAGCACCCAGCAGTTGTTTTGACCTTTGGAGAGGACGTGGTGTGCGTGGAGAACACCTTGCTGGAGCACAAGTTCCCGGAAGATACCAACTTCCTTCACTTCCTGAAGCTGTGCTTATCCTAGGGTCTTCTCCAGTGGTGTGTTTTGCGTGAGCTAAATAAATATTGGGTAATTACCCAATTGTTCATAGTCTTAAAGGGAAGCCACAAGGACAACCACTATTTTTTGGGAGGTCCCCTGAAAAGACACACCCATAGATGAATTTGACAGCAGTAGTTTTGGTGTATTCACCCCAGCATTGCCTTTTCCACCGGTGCCCTGCTCAGCGGCGCCCTATGTTTGTGAGAAGGGATTCCTTTTGACCAGGCTCACTGGGCAACTGAGGTGGGGGGAGGGGCACTGCCCAAACAATCCCACACACAATTTGACTATTTCGAAGTTTTGCTGTTTTACTGCATATTTGGAGCTTCGCTGCTGAATCAGACCATTTGCTGATATCAGTTTTTTGGTTGCAAGGTAGATGCGGATGATCGTGATGCCAGTGCAAACCTCTACGCCCATACTGGCCAAACCGCACAGAACATTTGGCTCATGCATTTCGACGGCCCTGACAATTGATGTCACGAGCCGCTTTTTTGGGATGCGCTTGCTCGAAAGATCTGCCCAACTTGTTGAGTCACCACCTGGGGACCGGGAGGCTCGCATTCCTCAAATGTGAGCTTCCCAGTGCACTGCATGCCGCACACGGTAAGGAAGATGACAGAGCACCTCGGCTGCGCGTGTGGTTTTGGATCTTTCAGCCCAGTTGGCCAGCTGGGTTTCTGTTTCCTGTTTTTCGCACTCCATGAGCAATGTAGGGCTGATAGAACATTCCCGCAGCACCACCAAAAGTGCCCCGACACAGGCAGGCACGGAGGGAGCGTCTTCAGGCGCTAGAGGCTGGAGGGGGGGGAGGGTCAGAAAGGGACCTGAGGGATGTTTGAGCTCCTCAACGTTTGCCTGCTTGCTTTAACTAGATTTCGAGTCTTTCTCAGGTTCATCATTGCTATTTGATCTTTGTTTTGTTTCCAGCATGTCCAAGCGTTGGCTAGCTCAAGTCGGAGCTGGAAGGTTGGTCAAGGTTCCTGGCCAACTTGGGATGCAACATCTTTCCACTTCCCCGTGAGTGAGTTCTGATGATAGATGCCCTCAGTCCGGAGCCAGTCAACCTGTTGCTTCGTCTTTGCCAGTGTTTGCAGCTATGCTAAGCCACACCCCTGATACAAATAAGCAACCTGGAGTTCTTGACATAGGCCACCCAGCCAGTGTTGCGCTTGCTTCAGAGGCAAGCCTCCAGAAAATCACTGCAGGAAACCAGGTATTGCCTTTCAGTTTTACACGGTTTTGTCCCCTGTTTACTTATTACAATGGCAACTGGAAGCACTGTGAATGACACAAGGTAGCATTGGCTCGAGCGCCAATGTGCACGGGGCAAGGCACATTTGCAGCGGCCCTTCTTCCATGATGACGAATGGCTAGCTCGGAGTGCTGCATTTGCTACGAAGTCGGGCCGCAAGTCCGGGCGTTGCGCTGCAAGCACCCGGTTTGCACAGAATGCTGCCGCAAAATGCGCGGGACGAGCTGCCCTTTGTGCCGACAGGATTTGGGCTTGGAGAAAAGCAGGTTGCCAAGGGGGTGTCGGATATATCTTTTTGGCGGGGTGGTGAAAATAAGGATACGTATGGCAAGACTTCACCTTGCACATTGTAGCTTAAGGCGCCAGTTGCTTGCAGGTGGTTTGTGGCCCATGTTTTCCCACAGCGCTTTGCGTGCCCCCGAGACCATCGACCCCTCCCTCTTGCTGGAGCTTCGGATCGTTCACTCCCAGAAACGCGCATACAGCTTTGACTTGGCCTTGCCAATCTTGCAGCAACCTGGCGTGCCGCAATTCTTCTCCACAGAGCATTACCCTGCTGGTTTGAGTCGCCGCCTCAGTTGCCGCAGTGTGCGTTCCTGTGCATGTTCTTCCCACTCGTTCATGCCCCGACTGAACATGGCTATGACATGGGGATATGGTCCGTCTCACGCTCGCGCGGGCTAAGCTGGGACACAACCATGCCTGCTCGTCAGTCAACATGGAGGGCCCTTGTTCCAGTTTGGCGCCTCTCCGAGGTCAGGACTTTGAGCTTTGCGTGCCGCCTGCGGCCTTGCGTGCAGTGATCCAGGGAGTCTGGGCTGAGGTTAGGACCCTCACGGTTTCAGCGGGCATTTCTCAACCTCTCCCCAGGTGAAAACAACCCGCAGATTCCTCTTGGCTTCCGGGAACGGAAGCCAAGGAAATGGGGTTGGGCCGTTGGGCCCCTGTTTTGTTGAGAGATACCCGACAGGTTCTCAGAACCCTTCCCTCCTGAGTTTGGAACCTTTCCTGGGCTTTGCAGCCTTCGGTTCCTGTCAGCTAGTGGCCGGGTTGGGTGACCGGTGTGTCTGGCAAAAGCCCGGGCCTTGGACGTTTTGCAAACCCCGGAAGCCCAGCAAGTAGCAATTGGTCGAAAACCAGCGCAAACGGAAGAGTGGAAGTGGTCTTTGATTTCACCTTTGTGCTTGTTCCAATCCCAAAGTGTGCACTGCTTGAAGGGGAAACCAGGGTTCCTGCTTCCCAAGACATCACCACAAGAAGACTCGGAGTCTCAGGATTGAACTTGGAGATCGCCTTTGTGGACACCAAGTTCAGCTGCTGCAACGGTCTGGGGCCGATGCTTGCGCGGCAAAAGCTGCTCCGAGCCATCGAGAAGCAGAACGCCGCGTGGCGCCTTGCAAATATCCCCTGCTACTTGTCCCTGTCCCCAGGTTGGGGGATTTCACAGAGCACCCTCTTCGTCCAGTGGGATCCTGACCGGGACGTGATTTGAGAGACAAAGGAGAGAGAGAGAGCTGGAGGTTGTTTACAACGGCATACAGACAGCGCCTCTCGAACAGGCCATATGGCACCAACGTTTGCCAATGCGCAGTTTTACAGAAGACAGGCTGCCAAAGTGCAGAGATGTGCAGAGGCACCCCCCCAAAGTAAAGAATCGGTGCGTAGCACCAACGCACTCAATCCGAACAAAGGAGTTCGCGTTGATTCGGGCTCCGCCTTTTGAATTGGCGCGAGGAAAAGTGCGATCTGCATATTCCAGCAACTGGGATGAGGTAGTGCCGATACAGGAGCCATGGTGACACTCTCCAGGAATAGCGACAAGCTCTGAGTCAAATCGTATGCCGTAGGTCCTGATAGATCAACTGGCGGAAAGGTAAATCCGCACAATACTCGCCATGAGTGTGCTTGAAAGCGCCCACGACACGGCAGTGAAGCAGTGAATTGACCACGGCCGCATGTGCCCACCTCGTTAGGGCTCATGAACCAGTTCAATCAAAGGGTTGCAATGGGACCACTGGCCACGACATAGCGAGAGACCAATTCCGCGAGGCTGGGGATGAGACAGTTACCCTCACCTTTCCCGGAGCAGAGAGGGAAAGAGAAGCCAAGTGCCTTGGCAATACAAACGGATGTTCGAGCCAGGGGTGTGAACCATCATCCTGGGATTTTCGGTTCTTATTCCCGGCCCCCCCAAAGGCTATGACACGTGTTTTTTGTTGAGTGACGCCTCCCTTGAAATTTGGGCTGTTTTGCAGGCCGTAGGGATAACCTTCAGTACCCTCACACAAGACATGCCCAACCAGCTTCTGATCCTGACGCCACGCGGAAAGACATTGGGTTGGGCAGTGGGGGCATCTGCAGGGCAAGGCAAACCGGGGTGACGGGCTGACTTGCTTTGCGGACCGCGTTCGTTTGAAAGATGACAGATCACAAAGCATTTTTAGGTCCATGCCGCCATGCCTGCCATTCGGCTGTGGGTCGAAACCAACAACTATTTTGAGCACAGCTGATCAACGGCGAAGCTTTTGTTCCAGGAAGATCCGCACTCACCTCCGGTGCGCGCCACACAGAAACCAGGCATTGCATTGGCTCCAAACCTCCCCAGCTGGGAATCAGAAGGGGGTTGGTACTTCACATTTTTTCAACCCCCCAGCCTATGTAGCACCTAGCTCCTATGGCACGTGTTTCTTGTCACTTGCTATTTGTACCGCTTTGGTTGGGAGGCCATTGCCATTGGCATCCTCATTGGCAATTCCCAAACGGGTAGCCCAGGTGAACGCTTTGAGAGGTTTCATCCTCCGGAGGGTCCAAGTACCCTCTCAGGATGGCTTTTGGGGGGGGTTAAAAGGGGTCTAAGTGCATCCTTAGAAGGTACCAGGGGTCCCTCTGGGTTTGGTGCTTTGCAGGTTTTTTTGGCGGAAGACCGAAGAGAACGGGCGATTGGAATTCGAGCCAAGGAAGGCCGCCAAAGAAGCCAAGGACTGGGAACCAGAGGCAACACACAGGATGCCGGCGGGCCACGCAAAACGAAGCTTGGTGGTAGGTCTCGCTGGCACCTCTTGGTCGGTTCCCAGCCGTCCCCTGGTAAAAGTGGGGGAGTTCCATTTAACGCACGAAAAGTTGCTTGTTTAGTAGAGGATCTGAGGAAAACCCAGTTGTTTAAAGGGTGTGAGGCTCTTTCGGCGCGTCTCCTCCCGCACAATCGTTTTGCGTTTCCTTCCATCGTTGGATTTGTGTTGGAATGTGGTTCCGCCACTGGTCCCCCCCTGCAAAAATTCCTTGTAAGACGCTATTTTCCTGGCTGGGGTGCCGTTGTTTTTTGACGATACAGTGCCTGAATTATTGGACTGCATTGTGGAGTTCCTAAGCAACAGATGCAGCAATGACCACAGCAACTATTAATGACCGTAGCTGTTCGCGCAGGGCCAAGGGTCCGAGAGTTCCTTGGTGTCCTTTTTGGACAATCGAATGGCACTAAATCATCAAGCTGAAACCAGTAAGGGGGCCCACGGGAGCCTTTGGATTTTTGTTTTCTGAATTTGGGGCAAGGCAGCTCCAGGAATCATGGGGGCTGGGGGGGAGGGAGGGGAGGGGGAGGGAGTCTAAATAAGCCCTTATGAAGCCCTTGATTTGGCCTTATTTAGGGCCTTTTGGGGCTCCCCCCTCCCCTCCCTCCCCAGCCCCCAGGAATCGGAAAGAGGCTGGGCGTTTTCTCCCCCGACCTCAGGAGTCCCAGCCGCCCCAGCCACCCTCCCAAGCGCAGCCTCCGCGGCGCCGAGAGAGGCTTGGAGTGGCAAACCCGCCCATCGGACTGCCGGGTTTCCGACTATGAAAAGATGAACGGAGAACCTCAGAAAGCCTTTGCATTTTGCCGAGGGTTTTTGGACTGGACAACTTTCTGCCAAATGGGTTTTCCGGATTAAACCACCGAAAGTTAAACTTTTAGCAGGTGAGCAGAAAGCACACCATTCTTAGCGGAACCTCATGTTGCCGGCAAGCCTGACGGAGCCTAGGGACCCCCGGCGAGTTTGCAGCATACGGGAAGCAACACCTATGTCAAGCCGAGACTTGGAAAGTCAGCTGATAGCGCAGGGGCCAAGGTGTTTCATTGGTTGGGTGCAAATCCATTGTGGCTTGCTTTCCAAGAGTGAGATCCAACGAAAGCGGCGAACCACCTTTAAAGCATGGCAAGGAGCAATGAAAGACAACCACCCACTTGTTCCCCCTTCTTGGAAGCACTCAATGTAAAGACACCATGTCCACACGTTGGGCGGCAATCCCGCACGTTAAAGGAGGCCTGAAAAGGGGAAGCGGCCTTTGATTGTTCATAGCTTCCCCCATTCAGAAGAAACACCCAACCCGCCTCATGTTTTTGCAGCGAGTCTGTACACCTCAAAGTAGCATTCCCAGATTACAACAGTCGGAAAGCCTGAGTTCTACCCTCCCTCCAATCATGCACGGGGGTCTAAGGACTATTTGCTTTGGGGAAGCCCCAAAAGGGAAACTTCCAGAGCCGGCCAGGCGCGATGAGCCGAGCCGGAGAGAAGCGAGGCGCGTGCGATCGCGTGCGTCCAGGTGGACGGCTTATTTTTTGACTTCTCCAAAGTTCAGAGGTTCCTAAATTCTCCTTTTTGTTGTTTTAAGCATCACCTTTTTGTCCCAAGATGAGTATCCCTTAGTGGGGGTGATGTCTTAAGATACAATATTGGGAGCCCTGAAGTTGCGGGTGCTGAATCGACTATACAGCTCAGAACCCTGAAGTTCCCAAACGGAAGCCAGAAAGGGATGGCTAATGCTCAAGAAATGTCATATCGCTTGAACCTGCAACTGGCTGAATGCTCCGAATTTGTCACCTGAGTGCTTCGCACCCGCAAAGTTGGCCTCTCTCTCTCTCTCATCTCGCGGCCTACGGATATGGCTATGGGTCATAACCTATGCCTCCATTTTGGGGGGGAATGAACACCCATAACGTGCCACCTATTTTAATGTTCACCAGCGGTACAGGGTTTTGACCCACAGCCATATGAGTTGATGCACGGGAGCGGTTGGCAATTACACTTTCTCCACGACATGCAGGCTCATAGTGCGAGGAGATGACCGTGCAAGATGCGAGATGATCAGAGTAAAGCAAGCAATCAGACCCACCCGCACGACCTGGCTGACTGGTCAATAGTTCTGTCAGATGCCTCTCAGATAGCTGGAGCTTTTCTTTGGACTTGTTTTTTGCTGCAATCCAGCTCACACCGACCGGCTCAGGCGAGACAGGGAAAGCTACGCACCGCGGACACGCTGCTTGGCTTCACTGGTTTGAGTTGTGCCCAAGATTGCCCAAGCTTGGTACTGCCCGATCATTTGTCAGCTGATTGGCCCTGTCCACCTGTTTTTGATTCAGCGAAATCCTGCACCACCTAAGAAAACCCTGGAAGAATGATGCCCCTGTACATACCAACGAACACTGGTGTCCCACGATTGCAGGATTTCGTCCATCCACAGTATGTCCCACTGAGACTGGCGGAAACCTCTGGGGGTCCACAGCCCAACAGCCGAGGCTTTGAAGGCCGTCGACGAGATTCGCGAGAACGCACCCGAGACCGCTCACGAAAAAGGCAAGACATGTCGGCTGGAAGGCCTCGTTTGGTCAGAAAGTGGGTCAATCCTTTGGTTAAGCCGTTTAAGCATGGTAAAACACTCATTGTTTCAACAACCGTCTTTTCACTGCCCTTCAAACATGGAGCTAAGGTCTGCCTTTTTGAATTAAATATAATTTGCTGAACGCGGTTGTCCTTTACCCAAGGCTTGTGACCTCCATGATCATGTGATCAACCCTTTACTACAGACACCCTTGCAACTAGCCTTATTTAGGCAAGGGACCAGCAAGGACCGCGGTGAGAATCTAGGCAAGTATAGACTGGTATGCTCCCCAGATCAAACATGACGCTGACAGAACGCCTTGAAAGAGGAGCTTGTACTCAAAGGGTCTTATTCCCCGAGTTTCCAAGACTGCAAGCATTGAAGAACATGTCAGTGGCAAACAAAGGGGGCTTCCAGGCGTGGAACACTTGGGAGCAAGTGCAAATGGCGTGCGCTTTTGATGCGCTGCTCACAAAGTAGCTGGGATTGTTGCTTGCATTCGATGCTTCGCGAGATATGAACCGGAAGTAAACAGATGGTTGGTTGGGGGGCCCGGGGGGGGGAAAGCTGAGGTACAGGTATAGGCGGTATAGGTGACAAAACGATCTTCTTTGCGTGCGGCATTGGCAGGGATCGACGCTCGCGTGAAAGGGACGGACACGGATCAAGCCGACGAGGCCGAAGCCCCTCGGCCGGTCTTCCGCTGGTTCCGACCGGTGCTTTGCGCTTGGTCATGGGAACCCAAATGGCCATGGGGCATAACCTATGCCTTCATTTTGGGGCGGATGAACACCCAGGTACCACCTACCTATGTTGATGTTTACCAGGGGTACAGGGTTTTGACCCACAGCCCAAGACTACCTTTCAAGCGGTTTCCGTTAGAACACCGTGGATATTGCATATTATTTGTACGCAGTATGTATAAAACGGGGGAGTTGGTTACACATCCGGGTGCTTTGTCCCAGTATCTCCAAGTAAGTGTTCTGTCAAGGGGATCAAGCCTTTGTCACTTCAGTTTGTGGAACTCATGCCATTCCACTTAGACACAAGATGCAGGTCTGACAGAAAAGAAGCACCAAGCGCATAATGTTCCTTTGGTCTTTACAAGTCAGACCGTGCCTTTGCACCGGATTCCACAGTAGAACATCCGCAAGCCGTGCTTCCCTCAG